TCCTTCCTTCCTTCCTTCCTTCCTTCCTTCCTTCCTTCCTTCCTTCCTTCCTTCCTTTGGCATACTAATCTGGGGACGGGACATTGTTTGCTTAAATAAATTAATGGAGATGGTCTTGTTGCCTTTCTACTTTCTCATCTCTCCCTCCTCCTTTCTTTCTCTTTCACTAGCTAGCAACAACAGAATTGTGCTTTAAAAACAAGTACAGAAGAGATAGAAGTATCTCTGCAGGGGGAGTCAAAAAACCTACATGGGGTCCCAAGTCCATTCGAGTTGGGCGGCTTACAAATTCAGACCAACCAACCAACCACAGGATCAAAGCCCTGCCATTGTAACACATATAAAAAGTGATAGAGTTTAGATGATACAATCACAGCAGCTGTTCTGACTTTTCTGATCTCCCCAGATGTCCCTCTACCCTAGTGTAAAACTCCTATCTCACCCTCAGTCTTCATTTCCACAAACTCCCTTAGGATCTCTACTGCACCTCTAATTTCTGTAAAAAGTTGTATTAACTCCTTTGTTAATTCCTTTTCTGCACTTTCATTTGGGGAGTTTCTTGGTGAGAGGGACCTGGATCTCTGCCCCATATTCCTGCTTTAGCAAAAGAAGATTGGGATGAGGAACCGTGGGCAGGGTTTTTGCTCATTCTTAATTTGCGCCTTTCACAAGAAGTGGGAAATTTGCTACGATCAGAGTGCTGTTATTGATGCACACACAAACATTTCTCCTTCGAAAGAAAATCCCAATAGTCATATAAGTAATGAATCAGAGAGGGTAATGCGCCACTTTGACAGGCTGCATTAATCTGTGGATCCTCCCTTGAGTTAATACAGCTAACATTTCTAACAGTCTTTTGTCTTGTCTTTTGATGCAGCAGTGCCAGACTGGGAAATTAATTAAGTCAATGTGATTAGGTACCTGGGGTAATGTTGTGGTTAAAAGAAAAAAAAAATGCCTGTGGCATCGAGCAACCCTGCTGATAACAGGTACCATCAATGGATGAATCTGCTTTATGCATAGTCAAAACTTTGGTCCACATACTTCATTAGAGCAGTTGTCCACAACTGGTATCTTCTAGAGGCAATGCTAATTTTACCAGAATTCTCAACCAGCACTGCCATTGGATCAAAACACCTGGAACGTGCCATGTTGGGAAAGACCACAGTAGCTGTCCAACATGTCACGAAGTTGTTCTCAAATATGATATCAGAAGTCTTGTATCTGGGACGTTATATATACGAAGCATATATTTCACCCTCTCCCCACCTTTGATTATACACCTTCCCCAGCATGCCAGATCAATAAGACAATGGAATGATTAAGAGTGCTAATATTTGAAGTATATAATATCTAAAATTTAGCTAGAAATCATTTCTTATTTTGGTTTCTTAATAGTTATATTGCACATTGCTAGAATGCAATCTTTACCACAGAAAAGAAGCATAGTTTTTTTTTTAAGTCATTTGATTTAATGAAGATCCGTATTGTCCATCTCTGAAACAGCATTTCTACCACACATTGTTTTTCTCCAATGAATACCTCTGATGTCGAACCCCACAGCCAATTTTGCCTTGAATGTTACTCCATCAACTTGTTGGATGAGGCATCAAAAGGGGATTAAATTTTTACTAAATTTGCAGGGAGGAAAATAGACATAATCAACAGGGTATATCTTTCTCTATTAAATGTTAGCAACTAGGTATATATTGTAGGGTATGCAGAAGGAGAACCATGACCTTTGTGGGGTTATGGTGTAATTGAGGGTTTTTTTTGACAATTTAATTTGTGAAAATTCAAATTCTGACAAAGCAAGATTTCATTGTCCATCTCACAGTTACTGAATATATCAGAAAGGACCACTGTAGAAAATACATGACTTAGCTGCTGTTTAGAAGACCTTGAATTATCTTGGCACAGGATAATTGCAGTTGCAAAGCTACAATAAATTAATTAGCAAAGGTGAATTAAGTAGCTTGGAAAAAATGGAGCTATGTGTAATAGAGGTGACAAGTACAATCTGGCTCACTTACAAGTAATGGAGGAAATGTGTGAGCTACTGGTCTTACTAGGTTACATGCTATACATGCTAATTCTCCATCCGTGGGCCAGTTATGGAATAGTAATACTGCACTTGTGGAAGCCCTACTGGAAATATCTAGTGAAAACGCTTCAGAGTTCATGCAACTGAGATGGAGAAACTTTATTATGATCCCAGTGTAACTGATCACAATCAGTGTAATTAGGTCAGAGGATTTCTTTTCAAGGATTGCAGAATTCCAGGTGCTTTACTAAAAAGCATAAATCTGGCTTTTACCTCTTAAGATAAGGCTGGAAGGAGCAATGGCAAAAAGGGAGAATTGTAAACAGAAAACAATTTATGGTTGAGATACATCATTAAGCTGGTCTTAACCTTTTGCAGTTTGGGCTCCAAAGATGACAGCAAACAAATCACCAGTAGTGATATGGACAATATGCACCTACTTGGGGCAGAGGTTTCATGGGCATCTGTGGGGTGTGTGTGTATCAAAAAAAGTCAGGAAACAGCTACAACTCCACAATTAAAGCCCCATCGCTTTTAACATGTACTGCATCTGCAATGCCCAACAAAGGGAGTGGACCTTTGATCAAGTACAGTAGTCACAATGGACATCTTGATTTCTCTAAACCATCTTATGGATGCCCCTGTAGGGGTGGGAGAACATTTTTAACCATTTTCCCTTTTTCTAGAAGGTTTTAAGAATGGGAATGGGGAGAGGGAGGTTGCTGCAAGGCAACTACTTCCATTTCCAATGTAAACACTCCAAATTATTTCAAAATGGGCTACATGCAAAATGTGTGAATTTCTGCTGTATAATTTCAGATTCAGCAGGGGAGGGCTTAAGGTTTGCCCCCCATTCTCCTTTCCACTGTTTTTGTTGAAGAAGAACATCACACTGCTGAAAAAGAGCCATTTTGTCTTCAAACTTTCACAGAATGATCTCAGAGTGCTGGGGGAAATGCAAGTCATGTGAGGTTGGGGACTGCCCACCACTGCCTTAAAAACAAAGGTGCATGGAAAGCGTTTTGCCTGAAGCCTTGCAAAAATTGGAGACAGCACTAAGTGAGGTACAGTTCATAAGTAACCTCTTCCTTTCTAACAACCCCAAGAGGAATAAGTATGAAACAGGATTGTCTATGAGCAACGGTGGGGTCCTAGTGAGAAACTGACAAAATGTTAAGGGTACTTTACTACAGTAACCCATTCTATGAAGACTTATTTTAAGTACATAAATGAAACAGGGACATGTTTACCTGATTTCAGGTGTTGGTATTCCTACTACAATGCAGACCAACTGCACTTTGGTTCCTTCAGAGACCTCCCTGCTTTTCAGTTTTTGAGTAAAATGTGGTGGTTGACCTATAGGCTCCTCAGAATAAAAAGGTGCAGCTGATGACTCTGTGGTTAATTCTGGATTTTCTAATTTATGGACAGCTTCCACATCTGCCTGTTGAGGATAATCTGGGTTTTCCAGTGAAGGCTGTGTATTATCTAACTCTTGAGATATTGGAACACAAGGCCTTTCCCTGTTTTCAGATAAATTGGCGAAATCAGAACTGAAGTCTTGGTTGGCCTTATGTTTAGATTCAAGTTTGCTCTTGTAGTTTTTGCATGTCCTGGGCCTGATTCTTTTTGAATTGTGTGCTTTGAAAAGAGAGGAAAGCTCTTCAATGAAATCGGCAGCCTTGTTGCGCAACTCCTTCTTTGATTCTGCCTCTGACCCAAATGGCTGCTTCTTTGGACTGTTGCCTGAAGTCGGTGACGCTGTAGACTGACAGTGCTGTCTCTTTGCAACTGTATTTTCAGAGTTTTTCAACTGAGAGGGTAAAAACACATGGATTTGTTCTTCTTGCTTGTTCTCAAGTGGCTCTTGATTGATAGCTTGTCTGGCCAAGTTCACACTTTCATCTAGCTCTTCTTGACTCAAAAAGGCAGAAAGGTCTGGAAGTTCATCTTGGCCAGTTACCTCATCTGAAGCCCTGGAAGTACATCCAGAATGGAAAGAATGCAGAGAAGAGTCTGATCTACTTCTTTCACTATTACCTTGATGGTTGTTTTCAGCTAAATAGCTCTCTCTCAGAAGTTGAGTTATTGAAGTTGAGGTTTCAGAAGTATTGTCTTGCATGCTGTTAACAAAGAGTACAAATAGGACCATAACCTCATAAAATGCACACTTTTCTAGTATTGAATTAAAGAAAGGATAGGGGTGTTTCTACTGTTGATTTCCCCAGCCTAGAACTTTCCAGATGAGTACTGTGGACTTCCCCAAAGAATAACTTTTATCAGCCCCCACCTGAGAATTTCTTTTCTTCCTAGCATTTTTCCTGCATGTGCAGTGTCCATTTTTTTCAGATCAACCAAATGTTCTGTTGGTTGCAACAGGAATTGACTGACTGGCTTGTCACCCAAGCCTTACATTGGGGGCTGAGAGAGAGGGACTGGCCCAAAGTCATCTAGCCGGCTTTCGTGCCTAAGGGAGGACTAGAACTCACAGTCTTCTGCTTCCTAGCCTGGAGCCTTAACCACTAGGCGAAACTGGCTCTCTAGCCCCAGCCTGAGAATGATGGAGGTTATATTCAACAAATCTGGAGATATCAGGCTGGGCAAAGCTGTTCTAATGGGATTGCTGATCAGATATATAATTCTTCTCTTGCACCAGATTTAACTGTGATCCAGTATGGCCAGCATCTCTATTATTCAGAAGTACTCAAACTTCTTTATAAGAATTTGGTGGCTGAAAGTAAATTTTGCTGCATAAAGTGATACCCTCAGCCATTCTACATTAGAATTTGTCCCATGTACATTTACCTTATCCAGCTTCATTCTTCATCCATCTAGTCCTGTATTGTCTGCTTGGAGTTGCTGTACATCAGAAAGAGGCATTTACTTGCCCTGCAACCTGAGATTCTTTTAATCTGAGAGCTGGGGCTTGATTTACCATATGTACAGTGATACTATTATGCCCTCCCTGATTAAGATTCTGCCAGTAACCCTATGGCCGTTCTTAGCAGCAAGTGTTCATACCTGAATGCATTATTCATATATGTCATGCAAACACATTTACATAAATAGATGTGCATAATTAAAAAGATGTAACTGGATTTCAGTATTTTACCATACCTTGATGACAGTTTGACAGGGATGAGAAATGCTAGGTACAATTACCCAGGAACTGATTGGTTGATCACCCCTGCTTTGTATAAGAAGGCCTGAAATCCCTGCACATTAGAATGTTCTTTGTTTGAAGAAATTTTCTCAATGGAATTGTTCCCTATCCTCTCTTCCACCGATTTCTATAAGAGTAGTCCACTTTCCAATATATATTTTTGGTTTTCAACTCATCTCAAAATTCTATATATTTGATATAGAAGTTGATATAGAAAATCTTAAGAAAACCTGATTTTGAATAAATATAGTCTAGTGAGATATCTGCAGGATTGGCTAAAGGTATTTTGCTCTCTAAGGGAATGACACAACATTTTAGCAGTGAATCCTATTTCCAGAACTGAGATGAGATAAAATCCTGTACTAGCTAAGGGCTCCTGGAGAGACTACAGAGCACACACAGCTCCGTTCACTCCTACTCATCAGCAGTGGCTGTTGCAGGTGACCTCTTCACCATATCTAATCTTAGGGTGAACGGTGGATGACTCCACACTCAGCCTGACATTTAAGGACACTGCTTAACTTAGTCACAGAAGTCAGTTAAGTTAGTTACTGATTATGGGCAAAAAGATGCTTCTCTGTTTAGGACAGAGCTAGAATCAGACATGATTAGAGTTTTCTTTTTAACCCGCAGGCTTCAAAACGTTAAAGAGTATGAATATGATCTGAACTGGCAAGAAGAGGGAACATATCACCTTCTTTTCCTGCTGCAATCTTGAGAAAAAGTTAGGGCTAATATGTGCATTAGAAAAAATTGTCTAATTGATTTTGAGGCAAAAGAAGTTCAGAAGTTCTACTGTCCACAGCAGGGGTAGAAACAGCTAGGGTCAGTCCACCATCCATGGAAGGGGGGAACTGAAAAAAAGCCAAAATAGGGGCCACGATACTACAGCAGAAACCCCTCCCCTTTTAATGTGCATTGCAATACATGTAGAAAAAAGGAAGGGTTTCAGTCCTGAAGTTATGGTCACCGCATTAGCCTTTTTTGATTCCCCTCATTGATGAGCCTTGTGGTTGGTCTGATCCTCAGTTGATGTTTTTGCTTGCAACACCCCATCCCAAACCCAGCCCTGCTAGGTGAGAAGTGACACTAATTGCAATATCACATGTAGTTTTTTTCTTAGAACATCTGAATGACATTCAAGGCAACCTTATAAAACTAATACAATTAATTCAGGCACAATACCCTTGAGCATGCCAAAGAGGACCAAGTTGGTAAATGTGGCAAACTAGCAGCTGGTTTATACAAGTGGGGTGTTGTAGGAGAAGTTTTGACCAGCTTTTCTGTATGGATGACTGTAGAACCAACTGGTGGGTCAGTGAACAGCAGCCAACTGGGCTCCTAGATATGGAACTGGAATGACATGAGAGGATTCATCATTATGTTAAGTATACATCTCAGAAAAAGAAAATATCTTAAGAAAAAAGTGTGTGCTGAAGAGCTATAAAATAGCTCAGCATGATGGCAGTTAACAAGTGTGTGTATTTTTATCTGGTCCACGTAAAAACATCTATGCCAAAGTTCACAGCTGGAGACAAGAGCAAATTGTTAATTTTCTGCATTATTAGAATGCTTATTTTGTTACTCTTGCTATCATATTCTTTGTGAAACTAATGTAAGTTCTTCAAGCATGGCCAAAATATGTGAGTAGAAGTCAAAGTGAGCCGAGTACGCAGACTAGAGGCCATGATGCTTCCAAGGGTATCTACAGAAAGGGGATGAAAAAAGGTCAAGATGGTGGTCATACCCATACAACTGGAGACACATGTAAAAAAGGACAGGGCTTTGATCACATAGTTGTGGCTACCATCTTAACTTTTTTGACCCTTTCCCTACAGATACTCCTGGATGCTTTTTAAAAGACCATCAATAAAGTATTACTGCCAATTTCCAGCCAATGTTTGGAAGTTTTCTTAAAGCATCCTGACATTTCTTCAAGCAGAATCATGCACACAAACATCAGAACCTGCTCTTATTTACTAGATACCTTTGGCCTGAGGTGATGAGGCAAGCTATTTTGATAAAAGCAAGAAACAGTTTGGACACATAAGATACAAGGAGGTGAAGACTCCCTCAGGTCAAGCTTGCAGTGACTGCGTGGTCATCATCATCATGCAAGGTGGTGATGGGCTCTTCTTCAGGAGTATGTTTTTCAATTTCTCAGTCTACACCCCAGCCCTGGAACTCCCTGGTGGTCTCATTTGTTACTAGTCCCTCCCTGCTTAGCTTGCAAGCCTGGTCCAGGTCATTGGCCAGGTGCCACATCTGCTGAGCTAGGAATGTGGGAAAAAAGGCCGCAAGTGCTATGGGCGAAATTTTCATAAGCAACAACAAGCATAGTTGACCTGGTATTTGTTAAAAAGCAAATGACAAAAGTTAGGATTCAGCTAAGCGGGGTAAAGATCTCTTCCATTTTAATGATGAAAGTTCACATCACATCAAATCATTTATTACAGATCAGTCACCCAGACTAAATAAAGCTTACTAAATAAAACCTACAAAACAGAGCTACAAAACAGAACATACAGTACAAAATAAAATCAGGCATACCAGATTAAAAATGTACAATCATGCTTGCGCTATTTTGCTATCAGCAATATTCAAGTTTTACAAGCTGCGAAAACAAACTTTGCAATGGCAAGAGTCATGTTGGGGTCCTTATCTGCTGGGAAAAACTGACCATAAAAGTGGAAGTGGGGTTAGAAGAGGCATTAGTAACTCTTTACAAACAGCACGTGCCAACAGAGGTTACAGTGCTGCAGAATATGAGTGCGTTGTTCAATGTTACCATCTTTACAAGGGCAGAGCCTTTCTGCATATGGAATTTTACACAATTTTACCAAATAATGTGAATGCTCGCCAACATTTATTGTTTGTAAGTTGATCTAGATACAATGCTGCTTTGAAGTGTGCATTGCTATGGTCTGGTTGAAGCCTAGGTGAGAGTTCATTATATTCCGTTTGTAATCATCATCCTTAGCTTAATCACCACCAGTGCCTGATCTTGTGCCACAGGCATGAGTGTCTCCCTTGAAAAACCCAGTTTATATATTTTTTTCTCAATTTGGAATTTCCAGGAGGAACCATATTTATTGATTAAGATTAGCTGCGCCAGACCTTGAGATTGGAAATGAACTTTTAGCCAGTGTTTAAACACACAGTGTGGTGAAAGTTAAGAATGAATGCAGGGCTGTCCACAGGAAGTGGTCAACAAAATAAAAAAAAATTATTTATATTGATTTATGTATCAAATTTGTTGCCACCCATCTCGTTAGAAAATGACTCTGGCATTTTACAGGGGCAGGGCTTCGATCATGTTGTTATAGATGCCATCTTGACTTTTTATGACTCCCCTATGAACACCCCTGAATGAATGTTAGTTTTATATTGAAATTTTAAAAGTAGGTACATGAACTAAATCAATCTGGTTTTCTTCTCAACTAGTGATATTATTCATCTATATATTTTTTCAAGGCCAATAGACCTTGTACAATAAACTTTTATACCTCTATACCTCATAACTCATCACTTTTTCTCTACAGAGCCCCAGGATGCACTCTCCTCCAGCCTTATCCTTCTTAAAATCTTGTGAGGGAGGTTGGGTTACAAAGTGATTGACCCAAACTCATCCAATGAATTTTATCTGTGAATGGACATTTGAATCTGAATCTTCCTAGTTCTAGTTCAATGCTTCAAGTCAGCTTCTGGAGCAGTTGTATTCCATTCACATCATCTTCAGCCAGGTAGGTTCAACAGCTCTGGAGGGACTAGGTAGCAGAACGCCCTGAAATCACTACACTGGCTCTACAGTGTTTTTTGATTTAATTCAAACACTTTTAAAAAAGCAAACAAACAAAAAACTACTCTAGGGCAACTAGTATTAGGATTGTCAACCAATTTTTAAAAATGAGTTAATGAACCATCTTCCATTCTAATGATGAAACTGTGAATACATTTATA